GCCTTTTTTTTTTTTTTTTTTTTTTTTTTTTTTTTTTTTTGTAGATGTATGTAAAACAAGGAAACATAAATTTTTTTTAATCCTTAAACTCTAATTTTTGCATTAGTAGTTTTTTGTTTTTTTGTAAAAAAATATTTATTACCGAAAATTAATGTAATCATTTTATGGTAGAAAAATATGATTTTGCTGATTCATTTTTTTCAGCAATTAAGTATTTTAGTTCAAACTAAATATTTTTCTGTTATTTTTTAGTACTCAGTTCACTCTTACCTCAAACCCATGAATCAGATGAAGAAATCGATGAAAACGGTAATATTTGTTTTCCATTTGTTCAGGGCCGTATTTTGGGGGGCAAATATCATTTTACCCCCCAAAACATGGTAAAAACTAGATTTTTAGCTATAAATATCATTTTAATATGAGCCAATAACCATTAAGTTAATATTAAAATCACATATATCAATTACTAATTGAATTGAATTTTTAAAAAAGTTAAGAACCACTAAGTAAGTCCTGAGAAACACTACGAAATCATGCTCAAAACTAAAAAGAATATACCGACACAATTAAAAAGCTTGATGGAAGAACCAGGTAAGTGAAATTTTTAAGGCCTTTAATGAATCAGAGAAACTAACAAAAAGTGTTTGCATCATTATGGGTATGTTTAATGTAACAGAACTGTTTTTGCATTCACTTCAATCTTATTATAACTAATCCACATCAGTTTTTAGTGCGCTTGCCTGATTTTTATTTCAAATTAGGCAGTGGTAAAGGATTAGTGGTCCTGCGTTCTAATAGGTAATAAAATAGTTTTAAAGCAACTTTTTCATTCTGAAAGCGTCACGTATCTTATTCTTCCACTAGGTTTTTTAAATTAATCCACTAGGTTTTTTAATTAATATCAATATTATGAATACAATTAGTATCTTTTTTATTCAATATTATATGTATCAATGGTTATACAAATGAACAGATTGGAAAAATTTCAATTTAACACACTTTGATTCAAAATAATTTAATGTTTTCTACCCCAAAATTTCGGTTTTTGACAATGTCATACAAATTAAATTTAATGCAAGAAGAAAGTTTAATACCAAAATAATTCAAGAACATAATTGATTAATCTCTAATAATTTTATATATACGTTTATTTATAAGTACTTCATATTTATAATAGCTGAGAATCTTTACCCCAAAATTTCGAGTTTTTGTCATTTATCAAAAATGGTTTTTGACATAGCGGTTAGAAATGTATCAACATTGCTGGTAGGGTTTATCCCAACCAGAAAAAATTCTGCCGTAGGGGCTTGAGCAAAATGATGCTTCGTATGATCTTTTAAGTTTTTAAATGTAGTGGTGTGGAAAATAACTTTAAATCAAATTTATAAAACTAGGAATCAAGCATTAAAGCATAAACTTAGCTACCACTAGAGGAAATTTTTCTATAAAGTGTTGAAAGTTGACAATCCTAGATTGCCAAGTGTACATGTAAAACAACTAAATCATTTCTTTTACTTTTATTTAAAAAATCCCTTATTTAAAAGACCCAAAGGTACTGTGATCCTTTAAAAAGCCCTAATTTTATTAATAAGGCCTCAAATTTCATTTTGACACTTCAGTTTACCATTCTGTAAAATTTCTAAACTGTCAATAATTAATCAATCAACCTGCAATAGATATTTCTATTCATAAAGTAATTTTTTTTCCTTTCAATTGACTACTCAGGGGTTTGTCCAGGGCAAACTCACTGCCGTTTAGCAGTACCTTCAAATTTAACCTTTGGGACAGCAGTAGTTTCACAAAATACATTTAAAAAAAAGCAAGTTCTCATGCAAACCCCATTCTCGTTGCAATCTATGGAAAAGAGGAACTTTTCTGCCCGCTGTCGTTTAGGAAAGGGTAGCACGTGTTTGGTCAGATGTGGTTAACCTAACCACCCAATCGCTTACGCCATATAAATGTGAGCTTTTTTTCGCGGAGTTGTTAAAAATGAAATGAGCTGGTTAGATGGTGCTGTCTTGTAAGCCTAACTGGTCGCTAACACCCTATTATAGTGATTTTTTTTTTTTAATTAGCCGCTCCCTTCCGCGTGGTAAGGAAGAATAGAGAAAAGCATTAGTGTTACACTATCATGCTACATACATTTTCAACCAAAAAAAGCTACATTTATATATAAAATTATAGTTGTATTTATTATAAAAGTAATTTTGTCTGAGTTTTTCGTTTAAATTTTAAACAGAAGGGGATTTTACTACTTTCTCTAAAAATTGAGTTGCTTTGAAAATCAATTCAAGGTCAATTTCCCCTTACAAAATGTGTTAGCAAGTTTTAAATCCATTGAAATATTTTGGAGAATAGGGAAAGTAAATCTCAAAGAAAAGGCCATTAAATAGAAAATTTACTTTGCTATTTGGAAGTTATTTTATGAAGAAATTTCCAAAATGTTCTTGATTCCTCTATAAAAAAAATTGCAAAATGGAAGATCGTTAAATAGTTTTACAGCTTAGAAATCTTTGAATAACACTTTTTTTAACTTGTGGAGTTAGAAATTGTGATCTTATATTAGTACAGTACAGAACCCGTTATCCGGAAAACCAAGAAACCGGAACGAAATTCGATAAATTTTCCCGTCATTTAAAAAAAAAAATTTTTTTTTTTCGTTTTTTCTTCTTTTTAAGATTATTTCCAAAAAAAAATAAATTTTTTTTTAGTTGGGTTTAACAATAAAAAAACGGCTTTTTGTAGCGATTCAGAAAACCGGAAAAATCAGTTATCCGGAATAGCGATGGTCCCAATCGTTCCGGATAATCGGTTCCCTACTGTATCTATTTCTCTGAATTCTACGAATAACATTTTATATTATTTAAAAATGTATTCAACAGGTTATTCCCTGGATGATGCTTCTAAAAGCTCTGAGATGCCTCGAAGCTCTCCACCTAAACCTAACAAAGCTCTCATTAAAAGAAACCCCTATCCAAAGAAACCTGAAGTACAAAATATGGAAGAAGGTAATAAATATTTTTTCAACCCTGTGGTTAAAGTCTCTAAAATTTTTAAGTTTAAATTTGATTTTCTCTGGCCGTTGAAGGACATGCTGTTTCCCCATGTATAACTCCTTTGCTATGTTTGCTAGAAGTGCAACAGTGGAAATGTGACTTGTCTTTGTTGAAGTAGATGCGTTAGTTTGTGATGCACCAGTGAGAGTGTAGTTAAGGAATTGTGATTGGAGCATTAGTGACCGAATAAATGTAACACTCGCTAAGTTTGAAAAAGTGCTTAAAGTTTTCCATCTGAAAAAAGAGAGCGTATTTCATTTTACTATTGTAAAATCATGCATCCATTCAACATTTTTCCTAAAGCAAAATTTGAGTTCAACAAATCAGTTATTTCTTAATTGTACCAATCAGTTCAGTTAGTTTTTTTCCCCCCCTTCCTAAACTGAGCAAGTAAAACACCAAAAACACTTGCTTCTTTTTTGAAACAATCAAACCTTTTAGTGAATAACATATGAATGTAAAACTGTCTCTGTACCAGCTGACATTTACTTTAAAACTGATTTTTACTTTTTATTTCGTCCCTTTTTTGTATCAAATGTAAAAGATTTTAAATGTTCTTAAAGTATTTATTATTTTTAGATGAAAGTTCCAACACGACAGATCAGGACGATGAGGAGGAGATAGAAATCCTTGGTATGTACTAAAGTGTTTATTTATTTATTATTTTTTTTTTGAAGTTTGAAATTACATGTTTTTTCATCATTGTTACGTGTTTCTCTTCTATATTTTTCCTCCGAGAAGAATTTTTTTTTATTAAATACTATACTTTGTGCCCTGGAGCAGAATTTTTTCGGACTTTCTGCGACATACCTCTCTAATACTAATATCTTTCTGCAAGATCAGATTCTGCAGATCAGAGCAACAGCAAAAAAATTTCATTGAACAGGTAATATTTTTTTTTCCTAATGTTATGAGTGATATTCTCACATTTGTAGGAATTTAACACACTAATTATTTCCTTTTTCGCACTTTGTAATTCATCATCACTTTGAAAAAATTGTGAAATATGTCGCAGTGAGTACTGGGGGAAAAAAATTTATGGCAAAATCCTGCAAATTTCACTCTTCAGAAGTGGTCACTAAATGTGTGTCTTCATTTTGAGATAGAGTTATAATATTGTATTAAAAATATCAGATTTTTTGAAAGTTATGGGTAAATCAGTAGTAATAACTGCATTAAAAAATAGAACAAAAATTTCTACAGAAGAAAGGAAAAAAATTTTTTACTTTTTTTCAAATGAGAATAGAAAATTCATACGCATTTTCTTTCTACTCCGGTGCACGAGAAAGGCATCTTTTCTATATAAATCTAAAGAAAAGATAAAATCCTTTGTAAATTTCTACAGAGAAACTTAATTTTTTACTTCCTAAAAAAATAATCTTTCTGCATAATGTTCTGCGACAATGTCGCCACAATTCTGCCACACAGTTCCTGGTTAAGCCTGAAAGAACCATCATTTTTCTCTTGATCTTTTTGTCTCATTCTTTCCTAATTTTTTTTTTATTATGCAAATGAAGAAATTGAGAAAGCTCAAAAATGATTCAGAGTCACCATTTTTTGCAAAACCATTTAATTCCTCTTAACTAGTTTTTATGATTACTCTAAATTTAACCTTATTAGGATGGACATAATTATAAAATTTTATTCAGTAAATTAATATTTTTCCTTTTTTAATGTTGAATGTTCATTCCAAATTTTCTTTAAAGTTATCTATATTAAATAATCATTGTAAAGGGGGTAAATGGATCATAATAGCAGCCAAACTAATATCTATCAGGCTTGTTTTTTTCACTATTTTTGCAGTAATTAAATTGATTTTCTCGTGGTTTCTAAAGTTCCAATAATCTTGCGACCCCTGTGGCAGAATTTTTTTTGGTTTTCTGCAACGAACCTCTCTAGAATTACTATCTTTCTCCAAGATACCTTTAATAATAGCAAATGTACATATTACTAATTTAAAGTTTTAAAAAAACAGTGTGTTTATGAAAGTTTTAAAAAAAAAACAAAACCTATTTGGATAAAATAAGATTGTATAGAATTTTTTTTTTTTCAAATGAATATGTAATATTTTTTTATTCTAATATCAAGGACGATATTCTCACATTTTGTTGTAGAAAAATACACTAATTAGTTTCTTTTTGGCCTTCCATAAATCATCTCATCACATTAAAAAATAATTGTTAAAACTTCGTGAAATTTGTCACTGTGACTACTGAAAAACAATTGACAGTGAAATCACGAGAATCGGACTCTTCAAAAAAGGGGTTACTAAATGCATGCTTTGTTTCTAGATTCGGTAGTAGTAATAAATAATATCATTTTAAAAAGATAGAATTTTAAAAACTGTGGAACCCCCAGAAGAAAAAAAAAGCGATGGAATCATTGCTTTAAAAATTAAATATTATAATAAACCAGGCTAGCTCTCTATGTTATTTTTATAACATTTTAATTAATATAAAAAAATACAAACACAACACTAACAAATATCAAACAACATTTTCGTACTACATATCCACATCTACTTGTAAACAAAACGTTCTACAGAAGAATCCGAGAGGATCATGGGTGAAGTTTTTCCTAGCTCCCTCTTTCGGGCAAACCAGGCATTACAATATTCATATGCGTGATTCGAATTTCCCATGTTGTCAGAAATATACCTGGATATTTAAAAACCATGTTTGTTTTAGTTTCTTTTATTTATTAATGAAATTTTTAATATATATATATATATATACAATTTTCAATAAATATTAAGATTTCCTCACAATTAGA